GAATCCGTCCGTCTATATTTTAAGGTTTCTCTTGGTCTACCACTTTTAGTCGCTAGTATAAGCTATAGTGTCAGAAATTATGTCCCTTTTTGTATCGGCAGCTATTGTATTAGATTCAGACCCAAGCAAATTCAGTTCATACTCTCACCTTTCACAGCCATCTTCTATACGAAAGATTACGCTGGTGTTCGAGAATGAACTACTCCGGATTTTTTTATTCCCTCTGCATCACTTTTTTAGGTTTTCTGATTTGCCAAAAACTTTGACTAATTTCTTATCATATCTCTATAATCCTCCGAGTTCTCCTTAGAAACAGTGCGGGATAGTTTGACAGCAGCAGTCGACATCTCGAAATTTTCTCAGGTGCAATCGGCTTTATGCACTCACTAGACGAACAAGTTAAAATCATCCCAACAATGAAATTCTCAAATTTTTCTGAAAAGCTATATTTAATTTCCAATCGTGCAATCATCATTCTGTCAGTGTGTGGTAAACAATCATATGGTAAACACGCTAATAGGATGATGATTGTGCGGCAGGAAATTGAATGTGGCATTTTTGGATGTGACGCGTGCGCTGTAGAAGTAGGCACTATTTCCGGGTCGAAGTGCCATCAGAATGCATCAAGGCAATTCAAATAATTTCGCTCTGGATCAGCGGAACCAAGGAGGCTGTTTTGATCGTAATGTGCGAAACCACAGAACAGGAGTCAGCCCACACTTTTCCGGTGTCCTTACTGACATTACTTTTTTTTTCAGTGATTTTGTCAGTGCGGCGGCAAAACTGAGCATTTACGGAAATAACCAATTCTGACAAATAGGCTGCATTTCCAATACTCACTCCCATCTCAGCGCTCCGGATGCTATAAGAGGAAGCCAGTTTTACATCCTACGGTCCGTTAAAGTTGCGAGATAGCGAGCGGTTCGCTGTTTTTATATTTCGAGTGAACTAACTTGAAAACAGGTTCCACTCTTCACTGCGCCCTGACCGTGGCCCCAGGTCAAGCTTAAACTTATTCCGTAGCTCGAAAACTGAAAATTTAGGCGGATTAAGTGATCTGAAGCAAGCTTTTGTTTCCTGCTGTATCCTGACCTATAACACTGGCCTTGCGCTCATGAAAATTCATAACTCGAAATCAGTGAAGCCAGCAGCTGGATTCCTCATCTTGTTTCTCATGTCGCGTTTTCGCATGAGGTAATCTTTTTATGTTGCAGTCAAAGCCGAAACTACCAACGTTTGAGGAAATCCGACGTGCCGTGCCACCAATATGTTTCGAAAAATCACTAACAAAATCGTTGGCATTTCTGGTTTTGGACTGTCTGATACTCTTTGGATTGTACAAAGTTGTTGCTGTGTTTGAATCATCCGGCATCTTTGGACTGTTTGTTTGGTTAGTTTGGAGCAGTCCTTAAGATCTTGTTATTAAGGTTCAGAATGCTTAAACTGGTCGTGCTTTCATTTCTGTCTGTGTAAATTTTCGTTCAATTTGTCATGGTTTTGCAGCTGCCTGGTCCTGCTTTCTGTTTAGCTGCATTCTTTTGATTGGTGTACGAGAAAGCGCTAGGTAGCCGTCTTGTTTGCGTTCAAGAATTGTCGGAATTGTTGTAATTTTGTTGAAAAAGTGCCGCAATTAAAGCATTGCGATTCATCGATTGAATTCAGTGAATTGAGTAAAGTTTTTAGCTCAAAATTAACTGGATAGCGCACTGAAAAGTAAAAAGTTCAATTTACGCTAGCTGAACTGAGCCACTGTATTGACCGGCAGGTTAACATTGTTGGCGGTAGAAACCAGAACCGAAAGACAAAATCAAAATCGATTCTAGATGTTTTCTGCATTCTTGGACAGTGCTGATAATTATTTGTATTTGTATAAGGAACCGAATCTTGCCCCCTAATAGGCCGTTTTAAAACAAGTGTTTCTGTACGGTCCAAGAGGTTTCAGGTACTGCTTGGTGGGGATGTTTGGGTCGTCACTGTTTGTGATTGGCCACGACTGCGGCCATGGTACATTCTCTGAGTACGTTTGGGTCAACGACTTTTTCGGTCATATCGCGCATGCTCCACTTCTGGCACCGTACTGGCCCTGGCAGAAATCTCACAGACAGCATCACCAGTACACCTCACATATTGACAAGGATATGGTATGTTCCTAGTTCACTTCTTTGAAGCACTGAAAACACTCAGCAAGCTTGTATGGATCATAGCTTTACGCGGGTTTTTTAACACCCATTTTTATCTTACTGCATTTTTTATGTCGCTGAAAATTCAGTCGTTTTTTTTTT